GGCACTAGTAGTGGGAGAAGAAGACAGGTTGTGTCTCTATCTGGGTATTGATATCATTAGTGGGAGTAGAAGGCACTAGTAGTGGGAGAAGAAGACAGGTTGTGTCTCTATCTGGGTATTGATATCACAAGTGGGAGAAGAAGTTTTTGTCATTTAATATTCGTTTAGAGGATACATTTTTCACCGATGACAATTCTGTTCAAAAATGGTTCACGCGCCAGAATAGACGAAGCAACGTTCACATGTTGAAAATGATTATCATTGGAGAGTTCGTGAGGCACCCATACACCTTCTTTGTAGAGTTTTCCCGTATTCCTTAGATGTTTACGTATTGTTTCATGAGAGACATGCAAATTCAGGGCCATTTCACTAGTGTGTAGCCTTGGGTTAGACTCAACAAGCGTCTTCAGAGCATCAGTATCAATTCCAACATGTCGGCAATCACAGTTTTTAATGCTAAAGACACCTGAACGAAATTTGCTGAACCATCGTAGACACTTACGAACGTTGAAAATATTTCCATAAACGTCTTCGATATTCTATGTGGCTAAAGAGGCGTTGTTTCCCTTCTTGTATTCAAATAGCATTACATGCCGAATGTGTGTCTCGTCGTGTGCCATCACTATAAGAGATTAGAGTATACTAAACTTTACTTATTATATAGGCTATACCAACGTGACGTTTAGGCGGTTCGTTTAACTATTATACGTGATGTACGTTTTTTGGGGAGTGGTTTAGGAAAGTATTCCAAAACGCTACATTAATTTCTTGACGACCTAATATGTTGCTTAAGTGATCGTTTATGTAACTCTTTGAATACACTGACTTTTGTCACTACTGTATTTGAAGTTATTGAAGGTTCGTAAGCTTCCAGTTACACATAAAGACCAAGGTATGTTTTCATGGGAAATATGGTCTAGGCCTAAGAAAGCGAAATCACAATATTATAGTCGACCACATACGAACGTTCAAAACATTTCCATAAACTTCTTTGATATTCTTTGTGGCTACAGAGGTGTTGTTTCCGTTCTTTACACATTATATAGGCTACACTAACGTGACGTTTAGGCAATTAGTTTAACTATTATACGTGATGTAAATTTTTTTGGAGGGTGGTTAATGAAAGTGTTCCAAAACGTGACATTAATTTCTTAACGACCTAATACTTTGAATCATTATAAAGCACAGGATTAGAAACACTAAATTAAGACGTGAAGTTTGACAAGTCTTTCGGAGCTCTAAGTGTACAAAATATTTAATATATTGATTGTTTGTTCTTGTTGGGCACAAAGCTACACGATGGGCTATCTGTGCTGTGTCCACCACGGGTATCAAAAACAGATTTTTAGCGATATAAGCCCACAGACTTACTGCTGATCCACTGTGGGGCTAATTCATTGACAAAATATTATACATTGTATCATAGCGCATGACTTATTGACAAAAATGTTTTGTTTATACCAAGAGAGAATGGATGTCCTTGTGAACTACTGACTGTCAGTTAAGAATGCTGGAGAAAGTAGCTATGTAAAAAAAATATACTTATATATTGAAGATCTATTACATGATGTTAGCGAGAAACAAATAGCTGTTATAAGTTTTCGATACCAGATAAGAAAGGTTGTTAAACGTTCTGAGGTGAAAATTTGGAAATAAAGTTTTAAAATATTAACAAAACCAATTAATGATAGCAATAGAATTTTACGAATGAAATTTTTATGCCGTTTCGAAGACAAAGCATCATTGCTCTTGACTGTGTAATTTTTTATTTTGTTTTTATAAATATTCCCATGTAGTTCAAGTTTTGGAAAAACGTAAATTAATATAATTTTCAAGAAAAAGAAAGCGATTATTGGACTATAAAACTACAATATCGAAATGCGCTGATTCACGGAAAAAATTCGTGGTAATTTTTCTTATTAACGGGTTCATATTTAACTAAATTGAACAAACGGGAACAAAGTAACAGGAAATGACGTCAGACGACTATGGATCAACATGAAAAATAATTGCATAAGCAAAATCCACAAACACAGAACACAACAGTGTGAACACAACATTCTCTATCTATTAGTTCAAAAGTTCTTTATTTGAATATCTATATATATGTACAAAACTAAAACAACAGTATGGTCCCATTACGCTGGTTTTGTTTTGTATTAAGTCTACTATTGTTTTATTGTCCTGATTTTAATCGTTTAAGGACAATTAATGTATTTAATAGCAATATATTTATTGATTTATTTGTATATATACATTCGTTTGGTTTCTTCAGCAAAATGTTGACATAAATAAACATCTATGTGTTTAAGATGGTATTTAGGGTTAGCTCCAGGGCACTCACACACATCATGGGTTCTACATTTATTGGCATACTTATATTTATCCTAGACAGTATTTAGGGTTAGTTTCAGAACACACACACACACATCACTGGCTCTACATTTACTGGTATAACTTATATTTATCCTAGACAGTACTTAGGGTTAGCTACAGGGATTACTGCACTAAGGATAGTTTACAAGATAAGGATGAGAAAAAGAGACGAGCAAGAAAACACAGTAGTCATGGGTTACTACAGTAAGGACAGTTTACTCCGTAAAGAGAAGAACAAAATAAATTGAACACAGTAAATTAAGTTGCTACTTATATGACAGCGATATGTTTAAAATAGGAACAATAAAACTGATGCGTGTAATTTATGATATGGAAAATTAAACTGATACACCAAACTTTAAACCCGATCGAAAATTGGACAGCATCACTATCAAGAGACTGAAGAAAGGTTATTGTTAGTAAAAAACTACAGAAATGTAATAATAATAATAATATCAATAATTCTGGATCAGCTCTATTTCTAAATGGTCAGACTTTTAAACTAATGTTTCCCGAACGTTTGTCTTCCACACACTCCCTTTAATAAATATGGTTTGTTGAGCGCCCCTTTTTCTTTTACATTTGTGAAAGAATGTGTTAAGTTACGAAGTATAATACACGAATACACATTAAATTATTATGTGTTCTAGTAATTAATTATTATTTTCTTTAATAAAAACTATATTAAAACACTTAATTTTGCATTATTGCACTATTGACTCTACCCTACTCGTTCATGTCCCCTTGGTGGGCGTGCCCCACACTTTGGGAAACGCTGCAGTAGAAAACATATTAACGTTATCGGGCGTCTATTGTGCTTTATCCCTTTCGATACAAGTTATAAAAGTTTAAATATTGTCTGTGAACAACGTGTCAAGATGTAGATATTAAAATAGATATAATAATTAATATATTTCTAAATATAATCTCAGGTGGCGCTACCTTGTGGATGATGTCTTCTTCTTCGGGTTCTTCAAACAAATAGGAGTTGACTAAGGGCTTGATAGGAGACCTCGCTCCCTCTCGCCCATTATAGGAAAGAACCCGCAGTCCATGGTGCCCATTGTTTGTGTCCACTGACATTGCAATCCTTCCGGACTAAGTCGTGTTTTTTTCTAGAAAGCCTGAAATATGCCATTTATATTAAAAGCTATATTCAAAGGACTGTCGTGGTAATTTGATTTTATAGTTTCTTCCAAATATAATTAACAACCTATTAAAACCAACTCGAATAACTAGTGTAAAAAAGAAGTAATTAAACATATGCGTGTAATAAACACGTTGCAAGAATATTTAATGGGTACCACACGAAATCCTTGGGCTGTATGGTGAGTGTATATCCTTACTGGGGCTATAGTATAAGTGTGTATATCCTTAAAGTGGTACTTACCGTTTTTCCAAGAGGTTTCCACGGATGATACAGATGAACTGCAAGTCTTTTCTTGCCAGTATCTTATTTCTCGGGGCCAGCTAGGCCTAGCTCACCATGTCCCACTGACGTTTATATATTTACGTTATTGATTTCCAACGATAACTTGTATCAGCTAAAGTCTGTGATAAAGAGGAAGCAAAGTGACAACACACGGCGGGGTGTATGGTTACCAGTCGCTATGACAATCTTCAAAGGCTGGTTATGTTTCCATGGTAACTTCTAGAAATTACTTGCACAACTTACCATGGGGGTTAACACTACCTTCTTACTAACCTTGCCTGCCTTTCATGTTTTTACAAAATTCACAGTTGACGACGACATTTGTGAAGATCGTGCGCAACATTTAGTGGATTAAAGCAGCGAAGCTTGCTTATGATTTTCTGTGCGCATGCGTTGTCCTTAGATCAATGCCGTAGTCAATAATTCTGCAGAAGGATGTATGTAGGATCTTTAGGACTGAACCACAGCGCATACCAAGGGAAGAGGGAGCTAAAATCGCAAGACGGTCGATTTGTTTCTTATTTTCCAATAGAACAGGAAAACTTCTATGAAATATTGTCTTTTTCCAAGCAATATTAGAGCTGTTTCCAACGTTTACTAAGGTTTTACACGGTTCGCTGAGACAAATTATATTCAGCATTTTGAAAAATTTTATCTATCAGTTTAGGGTTAGCAGAGTCCTTTAATATAGTGGAAAACTGATGAAGGGATCACAGTATAAGGTCAAATTTCAACTTTTTGAAAAATTTCGTTTCTTTGCTTGTTTGTCTGTTATTAAGCACAAAGCTACACAATGGGCTAATTTTGTTGTGCCCACCACGTATATAGAAACTCGGTTTTTGCCATAGTAAGCCTGTAGTCTTACCGCTGAGCCACTGCTCTGAAAAATAACCTTTATTGAAAGTCATTTGCTTACATTACATTATTCTTCCTTCTTATACTTGAAACTCGTATATTTCACCGTGGTATTAGCAGGGTTAACAGTAAAAAAGTGTATAATAAACAGTGGCCAATAATACAGAATGGATCTATAGGATCTATCTCGTCCTTTGTGAGGGGGGGGGGAGTTGTAATTACCAAAACTAACCAAACTGCAACACACACTTAGACCTGGCACGGCCTGATGGTTAAGACGCTTGACTTTCAATCTATCGCGGGTTTGAATCTTGTCACCGAACATTCTCTCCCTTTGAGCCGTGGGGGGTGTTATAATGTTATGATCAATCCCACTTTTCATTGGCAAAATGTAGTCCAGAGTTGGCGGTGGGTGGTGTTGACTAGCTGGCTTTCCTCCAATATAACACCTCTAAACTGGTAAGGGCTAGCGCAGATAACCCTCGAGTAGCTTTACGCGAAATTCAACAAACATCACACAACAACAACAATGAATATATAATTCTTAACTAATTAATCATCTTAAGCTACAGTTTAACATATAAATAATCAAATAAACATAACTTAGTTAATTATGTATGAAATTCATTGTTAATAATATACATATAACCATATGAGGTTGGTTTAATGGGTCTTACAATAAACAGCACATCATAACTATCATACCACTAAGCCTTTTTCTACCACTTGAAATGCTAAGCCTACTTTATATATTAACGGTCCCATCATAACTATCATACCACTAAGCCTTTTTCTACCACTTGACATGCTAAGCCTACTTTATATATTAACGGTCCCATCATAACTATCATACCACTAAGCCTTTTTCTACCACTTGACATGCTAAGCCTACTTTATATATCAACGGTGTTTACCTATATTTCACCCATACTTGATTATTGATACATCATATACTTCAGAATCAAAGATAGAAAAAGTGAGATATGGTAAAAGACAAAAAAATATTCAACGTTTCGTTCGGTCAGAAGAAATAAGACAGCTGGCGATGGCCTCTAACTAACAGAAAACCAGTACAAGCACGTCCATCATTATTACTGTCACACCAAGTCCAAAAATTACCAGAAAGGTTGTTACTCACAATGTAGCGTTCTAGTTTGTTTGTTGAATTTCGCACAAAGCTCCTCGAGGGCTATCTCTGCTAGCCGTCTCTAATTTAGCAGTGATAGAGCAGAGGGAAGGCAGCTAGTCAACACCACCCACCGCCAACTTTGGAGTCGATTTGTCCGGTATTTTACTAAATTGTACACAATGACTTTCTCTCTCTATCTGTTTATTTGTTTCTACCTAGCCAGAAGTTAAAAATATTTAAAATGTTTTCAAATACAGAGAAAGTTTACGTTTTAAAAAGGCCCGGCATGGCCAGGTGGTTAGGGCGCTCGATTCGCAATCTGAGGGTCGCTGGTTCGAATCCTCGTCACACAAAACATACTCGCCCTTTCAGCCGTGAGGGCGTTATAATGCGACGGTCAATCCAACTATTCGTTGGTAAAAGAGTAGTCCAAGAGTTGGCGGTGGGTGGTGATGACTAGCTGCCTTCCCTCTAGTCTTACACTGCTAAATTAGGGACGCTAGTGCAGATAGCCCTCGTGTAGCTTTGCACGAAATTCAAAAGCAAACAAACAAACGTTTTAAAAATTAGTGCACAATGATCTGAATTGTGATTTATATCTACCATTTCACCCTCCACCGAAGGTTCAGGGGTAAGTCTGACCACTTACAACGCTAAAAATCTAGATTCAATACCAGCGGTGGGCAGAGAACAGATAGCCCATTATGTAGCTTTGGGATTAACAACAAACATATACCAATTATAGATAGAAAATATACTAAGAAAGTTGTTGTGAAAAAGGTGTTATCAAGGAATTATCATTGTCATAAAACATTAGTATTAGGCCTGTTATATTTTTAACACTACATTCTTCAGTCAGTCCCTTAATGTTTTCCAAAAAGAGGAAGAATGTATAATAGCATCTCAACCAGACAATGTCCACTATATCAAGCCGGCGGCGATACAACAAATATATATCATCAAGCCGGCGGAGATACAACAAACATATATTATCAAGCCGGCGGAGACACAACAAACACAGATTATCAAGCCGGCGGAGATACAACAAACATATATGATCAAGCCGGTATAGACACAACAAACAAATTATCAAGCCGGCGGAGGCACAACAAACACAGATTATCAAGCCGGCGGAGGCACAACAAACATAGATCATCAAGCCGGCGGAGGCACAACAAACATAGATCATCAAACCGGTGGAGACACAAAAAACACAGATTTAAGAAATACTGTTACTCTTCTTCTTAAAAAAAAAGAAAGAAAGAAATATAAAAATTACACTGAACGGAGTACAGAATTTATTGTTACAAATATAATAGGCCTAATACTAAAGTCTAATGACAAGTATGACTAACTATAGTCATGCTTTACCAGCTCGGAAAAGGCGTTCACACCATAATAGGTTACGTTGTAACAAATGACTTTTGTTTTGTAAAAGACAGTTTCCGACACTCACTTTGTTTCTTATGCTCTAATAGTTCTGATGAGCTCTGTGTTGAGCGAAACGCGCCGTCAGCAATGGATATGGCGGACATAAGGTGGTTGAAACATTGTTATACATTCTTATTCTTCTGTAAAACTCCTAAGGGACTGAATAAAGAATGTAGCGTTAAAAATAAATAAGGCTTAGCTAATACTAATATCTTATGAAAGTACTATTCATCATAGCCATGCTTCGCCATCTTAGAAAATGCGTTCACATCATAACAACTGTTATAAATGATTGATTTTACGTAGCATTAGTGAGAAAAACAACAACAAGAACAACAAAACAGAAACAAAAGTATTAATCAAACAACCAGCAGTCTTTTTTCGATGGCAATTAGCACTTTCTACGATAATATCTTGCGTACGTTTTTTATTGGGTGTCAGAGACACTTGTTTAATAATGATACTGTTTAGACATTTTGGATGTCATTGACAGTGGTTATATAATAATAATACTGTCTTGACTTTCTCAAACATCGGTTGCGAATTTACTTATGGCTGTTTTATGTGGACGTTTTTATTGTTGTTTTTAAACACTGGCGAGAATTTTGTGTAACTACAAACCGATCAAAAAAGTTCTATTTCTTTGTTATTATTACTCTAGTGGACAAAAGCAAAACAAAACACAAAATTAAACTGTACATGTAATCACAGTAAAACAAAAGAAAAAAAATGATCAATGAAATTCCAGAAAAGTCTGGATAAATGAGAAAATGAAACTAAGCGATTGAGATTATTAATATATACACGAAGTTTACGCTGTCGTTGACGTCAGTAGTGGTTATGACGTCAACAGACCGTGCGAGGCGTTTGGTAACAAAAAAGGAAATAGTCCGTATGTTTAAACCTAACTACAGTGGATATAATAGGGAATTGACTGATTTGTCAGTTAACTCACAACTTTCACCAATACTTAATTTTCCATTTTTCAACTGTCCCTAGTTATTTAAGTTCAGAAACATACATTGTTCAAATGTTCGAGTCAAATGACGTAACTTGTACTTCGTTGTTTGTCTAGCCATTGATCGAACACAGTACCCTTTGGAATATTCATGTTTTACATATTAATCCGTGTTGATTTCCTGTTTGTTGTTAATATTGAGTATACCCACATTTTATTAGTAAGTTATAAAACAACACATCTGTATGGATGTCTGTGTGAGAACAGCTCTCTTAAAAACAAGTTTGGATTCTCAGCATCCACGTTCCGTTAATTATAAATTAAAGATGTTACAGTTATAAGCAATTTGTGAAAATATATAAATGTATGCAATATCAAATATTTGTTACACTCCTGTGAAAGTGGTAAAAGTAATCTAGTTTTAAGAGACGAATTAATCTATGGATATAAAAAAAAAGTTATATATATTGTACGCTAGAGAATTTTATACGTACTATTCTAACAGTTTCCACTATTATAAATTAAGTATTATATTGTTTTGGAATACAGGGATAACAAAATTTTCTGAATATTTCAATTATAAATACCGAGTTTCAGGATAAATCTAATAAAACCAAGAGGGCTTTATTATCTTAGTACCATTACTGTTAATAGACTGTAATTTCTAAAGCTTTATCTTATTGAATTGCTTGAGAAATAACTGAGGAGCAATAATTAGTCTCTTACGTTCATTCTTTAGTGTAATGTTACGACAGCGGAAGTCACGTGACGCTGCTGGCGCGTTTGGCGCTGGTAGCATGCGTAAAATTTCTCGAATGAACATGAATGATCGGGGAGGCCCGAGTGTATTCAAGACGCCCCCTTCTTTAGTATATAAGCCTGGCGAGAAAAGCCAGCGGAATTAAATGAATGGAGATAGATAATTAAAGAAGCGAACAGTAGTTACGATAATATAAAGTGTGTGTTTGTACTCGTCGAGAGCGAAATTATCGATAAGGTGAA